TAGCGTATATATATGGTAGGGTAAACCAAAGGTATACTGGCCTATTGGGTTATCTACATAGAGTATATAAATGGTAGTGTAAACCGCAGGTATACTGGCCTATTGGGTTATCTACATAGAGTATATAAATGGTAGTGTAAACCGCAGGTATACTGGCCTATTGGGTTATCTACATAGAGCATATATATGGTAGTGTAAGCCACAGGTATACTGGCATACATAGAATATATATATGGTAGTGCAAACCACAGGTATACTGGCATACATAGAATATATATATGGTAGTGTAAGCCACAGGTATACTGGCCTATGGGGTTATCTACATAGAGTATATAAATGGTAGTGTAAACCGCAGGTATACTGGCCTACATGGAGTATATATATATGGATAGTGGAAACCAAAGGTATACCGGCCTATTGGGTTATCTACATAGCGTATATATATGGTAGTGTAAACCACAGGTATACTGGCCTACATGGAGTTTATATATATGGATAGTGTAAACCAAAGGTATACTGGCCTATTGGGTTATCTACATAGAGTATATATATGGTAGTGTAAACCAAAGGTAAACTGGTCTATGGGGTTATCTACATATAGTATATATATGGTAGTGTATACCACAGGTATACTGGCCTATGGGGTTATCTACATAGAGCATATATATGGTAGTGTAAACCAAAGGTATACTGATCTATGGGGTTATCTACATAGAGTATATATATGGTAGTGTAAACCACAGGTATACTGGCCTATGGGGTTATCTTGAATTGATCCTGGAGCTTCCCAGGCAACTTAAATGGCATCGTCATCAGGCCGTCTCTGAATACTGTTATTATACAGACAGTTTCAATCAGTTTGACTACAAAACATTGTAGTACCAGAGGGGAGACAGGAGATGTCTCAGAATGATTGTAGAGTAGATCTATTTGACTCCTATATAGGGACCTCTAAAAGGAGGAGGAAATTGTAAAGGTCTGATAGGGGGACAGCTCAAAAGCAATTGTTGAAGAAAGGTTTGGGAGGAGTAGATCTGAAAGTAATTGTTGAAGAAATGTTTTGGTGGAGTAGATCTGAAAGTAATTGTTGAAGAAATGTTTGGGAGGTGTAGATCTGAAAGTAATTGTTGTAGAAATGTTTGGGCGGAGACTATTATTATAGAAATTAAGGTATAAGGCTTACAAGGAAATCTAGAAACAATTTTGGAGATATTAAGGCTTCTTTGAAACTAGGAAACAACTGAACAGCAGCTGGCATCTCCGGGTTTGATTTCACCCATGCTTCCTATTACCAACCTCCTGTTACTGGGGACGTCAGTATGACTGGGTCACTTCAAGTCATTTAAGTACATGCAAGTTCCTGGTTTAATTTCTGATTGATTACACAGCCTTACAAATTTTATCAGATTTAACAAATTAGAAATTTCTGATCTTTGTTAATGTGTGTAATTGGTGAAATTCTAGTGAATAGATATATGATCCCTCCATAGAAAACACTAATGAAGTTTGGCTACTGACAGTTTTTTCTATTTATAGACCTAAATGTTACCTCTCTTGAAAGATATACTTACCGTATCATGTGGTAGGAAATTGGATGAATCTGTCAGATAAAAAATAAATCTCATTTCCTAACCTGTGGAGATCCACCCCCACATTTCTTATCACAGCAACCATATCTTGTATCTGCCATCCACTTCCTGACATGAAGTTCAAAGGTCAAATGTCATCCTGACACAAATTTAGGTCAAAGGGCACAGGAGGTCAGAAAATGTTAATGAGAAGTGTGGGGATAATTTACATCAAAGCAGAAACTACACCCTGTGTATTTTTTAATGGCAGTCAGTTAGTTTTACAAATATAAATTATATCCCTTGTCAGAAATTTGAAATTTATTTCGTGATGAATCATGTCTTTTTGTATTTGACTGTCAGCACTTTGGAAGCTATATCTTTCTCAGAGTACATGGAACCTCTCAGGTCTATTGACCAAGGTTATAGCTATAAACAAGTCTGTAAATCACAGTTATATATACAGCAATTGTTTGACCTTAGTTTGACATTCTGAAGGAAAGATTGGATACAGAATATCATTACCAGTAATGAAAGTAGCTTTCTGACAAATATAAAGCATTGAACAGAAGTTGATATTGATATACTTTGGGGCGTTTGCTAAAGCATTCTCATCACATTTTTACCATGGGTGTTTAATGATAAAAGACTGTAGAATTTTGAAACTGTGTTCTAGTACATAGTAAATATGATTGCATACAAGAAAACTACTGTGTACTGTTACTATGGAAACTGGCTTGCATTACATTAATATTGCAATGTTACATGTAACAATAATAGGTGCTTGTATAATTATCTGACACAATGCTATAACGATTGTCTCCCCCTGGTTTTTAGCCATATTTTACCATTTGAATGACATAACATATTAAGATTAAATTGTTATTCCAGCATCACTGTAGTTCTGAAATTTCAAAAAGAAATCCTGTAAGTGAAATCAAATTCAAAAGATAAGTTCAAAAACAATTAAATACAGTTTCACACGGTTGACATAAATTCACTTACCATGCATGCTGTACATTGATTCCAAGGATTACTGAAGTTAAAGCAAAGATTACTTACAAATGTATCGACCCATATATGTCATGACAGGTACATATATACTAAGTCTTAAGGGGATACTTGTTCATGCAACTCATGGTTGTCGACGTCATACCATTAGTCTACGACTACTATTGACACAAAACAAAGACATTCTGTAGTTCTTGTAGAATTATTATCCATTTGGAAGAGATTTTCAATCGTATCACAATGAAATTGGCCATTTAAAACTCAGAACTACAAAAAACTTAAAAATCAAGATAAAAAAAAATACCGAAAAACACAGAAAATCAACAAAAAAACACCATGAAAACATAAAGTGCTGGCATATTGGTAAAGTTTTTATCTTCCTTCTGTTAGATGATTGGCAATTTTCTTACACCATTAAAACGACCCTAGAACAGTGACTCAGTGCGTTATTAAAAGGTCTGATACGGCCCAGAAACTATGTACAAGTGTTTGATGTTTAAATGTCTGTTTAATTGGTTGTGACAGGGAATAAAGAGCTCTTCAGAGAATTAAATTTTCAATTGTTTTAGTTAATTGTTGGCAACTAATTTAGACCATAAAACTTATAACTTTTCAGTAGAGTATGAGAAGGACTAACCACTTCAGATTTCACTTTGTAGAGAATATGCCAGACCTATAAGGACGTATATGGTTAGCACATTACTTGGGTGATCAATTTCACTCTAGAAACCTCCAATAAAACTGCTGTCTGTGATATGAAAAAACCTTTTATTGTAAATTGATTGTGACTTTGACGATTTTATCTAAACTTTCATGGTTTTAGATCATTTTCATTGGGCAATATTTTTACTAATAGCTATTCTCGAACAACAAATTGTCATTTATGTACATGTGTTAAATGTCGTTTATGTTCACATAATATTGAAATGTACCGAAACAATTTTTTACTGTACGTCACCATTTTTTCTTATCCTAATCTATGATAAAGTACACGTCACACCAAAGAACGTCTTCTACTTGACACTTTCCTTACTCTGGAATATTGACCAGAAGAGATAACAATTATTCATCAAGAGGAAATATTTTGACCAAACAAAACAGTAACAGGAAATGGGTATTGAACAAAATAATTCAATACAAACTGATTCAAATGATTATTTATCTTTGAATAGAAATAATTTGGAAGTATTATTAAATTTAAAAGAAATGAAAATTGTCATTCATATTATGCTATTTTAAAACAGCTGTATTTCCATGGAATATTCCTGAGTGCACTGTACTTATGACAGTTTATGGCTACTTTGAAGTAATTTTGTCTGAGAACAACATTACAATATACTTATCAAATTTAGCTTACCAACAACCCTGATTGAGGTAATAGTGTAAACTTTTGAAGTTGAAGTTATTCTAATTGAATATGACTAAAATCCAAGATGTTAGGAATGCTGCTCATTTCAAAAGTCGAAATCAAGGGTGAAGTTTAAGAAGGCTTTTTTCAAATAAGGCAGACTTGTAAAGTATGTACTACACAGTAAGGACACTAAGGCATTGAACTGCTTTCAGTTGACAATATGAATGCCAATTGGACAAAGGCGAATTCAATGGAGTGCCCTATAGCGCTTCAACTTGGATTTGGCTTTGTCCAGTTGGAAATCATATTGCCTGTGAATGGTAACTAAAATCAATACTTATATTCACAATTTTTTGAATCTGTTCATCTCACAATAAATCAATTGCAATTATTTTTATTCAGCATTTAGTTCAAATAATGCATGGATCGTGTATGCTTGTGCAAATAATTAAGAACAGCCATCACCCTGGGAGGGTCAGTGGTATCCAACGTAACAATTATGATGTCATAATAATGATGACGTCAACTATCGGTCCATGGCATTTATAGCTTATGAATGCTAACTGAATTTGGTAGGGTTATATAGCGGCAATGTCATACGATGGTAGATACTTGAAAAGAATCTTTGCTTTACAAACATTCCGAACTGTTTCCGATGGATGGTCAATAAACATATATGGTTCACTGGGATCTATAAATCATGGAGCTATCTTATAAAATACACATATATGGTTCACTGGGATCTATAAATCATGGAGCTATCTTATAAAATACACATATATGATGGACCTTCATCAAAGTGGTGTTGACATAAGACTGAAAAGTATATAGTCTTATAAGAGCGTTAGCTTATTAGTTGCTTTCATATCCCTTGATGTATTACAGGACCTAGTGGAAAAAGCACCGACTGGTTTCCAATGTGTTATAGGAAGCTACACAACTTTTTTTATTAATGCAAGAATTTCCACAAACAGAATGCAATCATTAATACATTTATTTGTATCAGCTAGAAATTAACCAATATATCACGTTTGAGATGTTTATCGTAATTTGTCTTTTCTGTTTTTTAGTGTCCAGTGCCAGCGTCCAGAACATATTTGTCAGTGGCTGTTCCCGGGAGACAATGGAGTTGGGATGTCCGTTGGGTCACAAGATAGCCATCAAAAGACTGTTTTATGGTGTCAAGTCTGACCGCAAATGTGCAGACAGGGGACGTAAGCATAAGAGTGACTGTTGTCGTCGGACATATGACGACTGTCTGATATTTAACGAGGATAAGTACAATGTGCTGAATATAATGTGTTCAGGCTACAGGAACTGTGAGGTTGACGTGAAGAAAATTAACACCCGAGGGGAGTGTGATAACCCAGAGTGGCGGCTAACAGACTACATGACCGTCATCTACGACTGTGTGGCAGGTAAGCTCTGCACACAACGTTGTCTCCGCTCCAATCCAGCTTACCTCACACGGAGGAAGTGGTTCTAAGTTTATTAGGGGGGACTTTGAGGAAGGAGTGGGGGAGGTCTAGTTACTCAAGCTCTGGGAATGAAAACCTCAGATTCACGAAAGGTGCAAATGAGCATTATTCTTGAAGTGCATGGATATCAGTAGACAGAATTTTGCATAAAATATTCGAATTGTTATCATGCTTGTCATAACCATAAATTATCAATGCCTCAGAATTTATGATAAGATGTCATAAATGTGTCTGTCATGGTTGTCAAGACTGAATGTGTTGTAGAACAAACTTGGAACTGTACATGTTTCTATATATATACAATAGAGATCCTGAACCCACTTTCTCTTGATTTTATATAATTTAAAAGATGTAACCACTTTTTTTTCACAGACACAGATGTTGCCAGGTTCTGTTCCAATGACCATAAGAGGGGTAAGGAGTTGTACTTGTCCAATATTGACTACCCCTCACCCATAGTGCCAGGGCCACACACCTGTCGCTGTGTGCTCAAGTCTGGTTATACCCAAGGTCTGTCCATCCATGCCATCGACATCATGATCACTCAGCCAGAGGACAGTACGCTCTGCCCCCAGCGCCTTAGTATCCAGGACACCTACGGCCAGATCAAGATCATCCGCTGTGGCCATGGGGGGCTGTATGGGTTCCGTACTATCTACAATCGAATGGTGACCAATGTCAGCCTCGAACTGGAGAGCAACGTGAATGACAGTCGTGGCTACGTTTGGCTACACCTCAAAAGTAAGATCTCTTAAAAGGTTTGAAAATTGACAATAAATTTGGCATTGAAGGTGTTTTCATCAGGTTTTAGAAGCTTGCAAGACTAAAATCATTAATTCTTAATTATTTTGATTTTTTACTCTCCACATAAAAATTATACTATCTTTGTAACTGAAATACTAAAAGCTTTTGATGTTGTCCTCTATAGAAAAATATATATCTATTAACAGAAGTTTAACTAGTGATAACTTGTTGTTATTTTAAGGCGAGAACACTGAAGACTTTGTGAATCTATACTGTGGAGAGGCTATCAGTTCCCTCACTGCTGGACCAGCCACAAACACCAGTGTGATCCAGAATCCAACAAGAGCGCCCCCTGTAGGGAACAATACTGTATATCCTAGCAAAGGGTGGTCAACTCCACGGCTCATACCTGATATGGGTAAGTATTCAGGTTTCATATACATCCCGTCCCTGATATCCAGGTGCTAGCGACTTGATTAATCATCTATGTAACATATACTTCCCTGCCTGCGAAGTACTCATCCTTGAGTCTTTCAGCGGACAAACATGCTTATGTTAATAACATTACTTTTCATTGTCATTCAAAACCTGCATCATTTGATCCTTTACATACTTGGTTGAACCTGAACCATTAGCTCCTTCCTTCAACAAATTCATCCTAAACAATAAGCTCCACCCTTCAAAATGTTCAACCTGAACCATTAGCTCCACCGGTCGACATGTTCAACCTGAACCATTAGCTCCACCGTTCGACATGTTCAACCTGAACCATTAGCTCCATCCTTCGACATGTTCAACCTGAACCTTTAGCTCCCCCTTTCAACATGTTCAACCTGAACCATTAGCTCCAACCTTCGACATGTTCAACTTGAACCATTAGCTCCACTCTTCGACATGTTCAAACTGAACCATTAGCTCCTTCCTTCGACATGTTCAACCTGAACCATTAGCTCCATCCTTCGACATGTTCAACCTGAACCATTAGCTCCACCTTTCAACATGTTCAACCTGAACCATTAGCTCCACCCTTTGACATGTTCAACCTGAACCATTAGCTCCACCCTTCGACATGTTAAACCTGAACCATTAGCTCCACCCTTCGACATGTTCAACCTGAACCATTAGCTCCACCCTTCGACATGTTTAACCTGAACCATTAGCTCCACCATTCGACATGTTTAACCTGAACCATTAGCTCCACCCTTCGACATGTTCAACCTGAACCATTAGCTCCACCCTTCGACATGTTCAACCTGAACCATTAGCTCCACCCTTCGACATGTTCAACCTGAACCATTAGCTCCACCCTTCGACATGTTCAACCTGAACCATTAGCTCCACCCTTCGACATGTTCAACCTGAACCATTAGCTCCACCCTTCGACATGTTCAACCTGAACCATTAGCTCCACCCTTCGACATGTTCAACCTGAACCATTAGCTCCACCCTTCGACATGTTTAACCTGAACCATTAGCTCCACCATTCGACATGTTTAACCTGAACCATTAGCTCCACCCTTCGACATGTTCAACCTGAACCATTAGCTCCACCCTTTGACATGTTCAACTTGAACCATTAGCTCCACTGTTCGACCTGTTCACCCTGAACCATTAGCTCCAACCTGCGTCATGTTCAACCTGAACCATTAGCTCCATTCTTCAGCATGTTCAACCTGAACCATTAGCTCCATACTTCACAGTGTTTAACCTGAATTATTGGCTTCATCATTCACAGTGTTGAATCTTAACCAATGGTGCTCCTCTTCACTTTGATGAACCTGAATTAGTAGCTCCATCCTTTAGTTCCTGTCTTGCTGGACTGGTTTATATTAGTTCTGTGTGCTCCATCCTTTAGTTCCTGTCTTGCTGGACTGGTTTATTTTAGTTCTGTGTGTACATTATAACTATATAGACTACAGAGAATGGTTAGCCTAGAGAACATAACTCTCCTTAATCTTATTTACACTTCAAAAACTGTTATGTTGGCCACATATGATTGTTTCCCATTGTCATCTAGTATTTAACTCATTCACCCCCTGAAGACACATTTGAACTCCTCTAATTCAAAGGGTGAAATAGTTCATTATGAAATTTCAGTGGTGAATGGGTTAATGTGTGTGGAAATAAAGTTATCTTCAAGGATTTTAAAAGTTGTTTAAAAGAAGTCCTTGAGTGTTCTTTGCTATATACCTGACCATACGTAATACTTATTAGATCATTGATCTATTTCATTATAACCCCTCAACGAAGTTAGGGGGGTATACTGGAATCACCCTGTCTGGATTTCTGTCTGTCTGTCCTCCGCAGTAACTTGTCCGGAAAACCACTCCTTAACTAACAGGTGGATTTCATTGAAACATTGCATGAATTATCGGTATCTTATGTAGTTGTGCACCGGCATTTTATTTTTAGATTTAAACACTTTTTAAGGGAGTTTCGGTCCATTATGCAAAATAACTTGTCCGGAAACCCCAGGTCGAAGTAACTAAATGATGTATAAACTACCAGCATCCGCGGGGTTATTAGTTATCCTCTGGATGACAGTTCTAGTTATGAACTGAAACTAACTCTTAAAGTCTTATGCTTCTCTATGTTATTAAAGGCTGTTTTATTGTGACCTCTGATGCCATGTATTATCAAGCACCTAGAGTACAAGGTTACCACAAGGTGTCCTTTTATAGTTGACCGCCATCCTCAGATCACAGTAAAATATAAACATTAGTTTAAATCGTATTGATGGTAGTCAGTTGTTTGACTGACCAGTAATGATGGTGATATAACTGACCACGTCACACCTTGTTAGGAGTGACTAAAAGTTGTGCAGTAAAGACAGTATAGTGGAGAGGAACTACATTGTTAGACGGCAACATTCGTATGTACTCTTCGACCTCACTTCAGCTCATCAAAAACATCCCTGTTTTGGCAGACAATTAATACACAGTGTAGATCAAGGAACGAGGTGTAAGTGTCTAGAAGGTTGATGCATGTTTTTATCATACCCTGCCAATAACTTGTAGGGTCCAACCAAACCAAATCACAGGATACAACTGTGGTAGTCTTATTTGTATATTTTTGTGTATGAATTACAGTCTATTTTGAGTAGATGATGTCACCAGTGTGGGAATTTTATTTATTGGATGTGTATTAGTTAAATTAGATAAATTTATGATTATCACTGTATATAAGCCAGGTTCGTTCCATCTTGTTCACAACGTGTAACTAATACATTGGACTTTCCTATCTTTTTCCTGCCATGCTACAAGTTGTGTTGTCCATATTCCTGTAACACTGTGTGTGTTTCTGCACTTTGTTTCCAGGCTTTGCCTGTTTATAAAAGAAACATTATAGTAATGTGATCGTGTGTAATTACCAATCACTACCTTAATTTAAATTGCTTTGAAATAATTACACATGCTCTTCAAGACAATGTCCAGATCTGACTAGCAGAAAGGTGTAGGTTGGTACGTAGTCTTCAAGACAAGCACATTGTAACGGCCTGTTTCTCTGCACATGCTCATTAGGTTTGACCAAAGTGAGTTGGTTCGATGGTTAGGCTCATTTTAGTTGATGATCAAACTGAGCGCCCTTGGTGTTCCTGTACTCAACTGTTGAGCTCTGTAGCTACTACTGGCTGATACCTGGTGTGTGAATGGATCCCCATGAGTCTATATCAGTGTATGGGAGACTGCCAAGGTACACACATGTGAGATGTAACAGACCTGTTTATGTACAGACCCTAAAACCTGTTCCAAAATCACAGCTATATAATGTCTCTGTGATACACCATCTGTAGACGGTGCAATTCTGTAAATACATGCATTATTGATGTTATGATATTTGTATGATGTTATTTCTGTCATCTATGAAAAAAATCATCTTCAGAGTAGTTTTTTCCTTAATACCAAAAAGAATTTGTGATCTGTTAAGCTTCAAATAACCCATGTCTATATATCTGTATATAACAGTTCAAATACAGTTCTGGACCAGATTCAATGTCTAACAGACACCATATATAATCCATTTCTGTATCAGGCTCCTATATATAACCCATTTCCATATCAGGCTCCATATATAACCCATTTCCATATCAGGCTCCATATATAACCCATTTCTATATCAGGCTCCTATATATAACCTATTTCTATATCAGGCGCCATATATAACCTATTTCTGTATCAGGCTCCATATATAACCCATTTCTGTATCAGGCGCCATATATAACCCATTTCTATATCAGGCTCCATATATAACCCATTTCTATATCAGGCTCCATATATAACCCATTTCTATATCAGGCGCCATATATAACCTATTTCTGTATCAGGCGCTATATATAACCCATTTCTGTATCAGGCGCCATATATAACCCATTTCTATATCAGGCTCCATATATAACCCATTTCTATATCAGACTCCATATATAACCCATTTCTATATCAGGCGCCATATATAACCTATTTCTGTATCAGACTCATATATAACCCATTTCTATATCAGGCTCCATATAATTATAACCTTTTTCTGTATCAGGCTCCATATCACCCATTTCTATATCAGACTCCATATATAACCCATTTCTGTATGAGGCTCCATATATAACCCATTTCT